TACATTTTAGACCCAATATTGCTAGTTACTTTGCCTGTTTTTGCTATGCCAATGAAAATAGTTTCAGATAAAGTCACAGCATAGCTGTTGCATGTCTATGAGCGAAAAGTATTAGTAGTGTTTTGTTACTCAATGAAACTGCATTTTTTTTAAAAATGAATCAGTGTGTATGATTCAACAACTCATTCATAGATGAGATTTTATTTAAAAAAAAATTGTGTTTCTAAACGAGTCATTATGAAATGAACATTTACTGTATCTATTTGCTAAATGCATCTTAATGATCTTGTGTGAACAATTCATCCATGCATATGTTTAATTTAACTTTTTGTTGGCTTGTAACTTTTAATTAAAAAAAAGCATACCTTGAGTAAACAACAGACTTCTCATTCAGATCTGCCTTCATCCAAATAACAACCGACAAATTGAACCCCTACAATTGTTTGTCTTTTTTGATAATCCGTTTCACGTGGATGCACGTCATAACACAAAAGAAATGCTCAGTAAAGATCAACAAGTACATTTCCAAACAGCCACAATCCTTATAATGAAAAAAAAAGCATTCTATCCCAGTAATTGGCAGAATATTCATTCTTAACAGCAAACACTGCTCATCATTGCTTCTCTGTTGCAATCAATTCTTTCCACTCATCAGGTGTTGCCCTGTCTAATGAATGCCAATACTGTGGTAGATGTGGCTTTTACGTTTGACAGCAGATGTGTCAAGCGTTTTGTGGTCACTACAGTTTTGAAATGCATGGAGGAAACTTTTGTGGGCTGTTAATTTTTATACCGTCTTGAATGACAGCCAAGAGCTGCCTTGAGTGGACCCAGCTGGTCATCCGTCATTGTTAAAAACTTACATCCCTGATTGGGGTCTGGTCTGAGGCCAGCTCAACACAGGTGCTTGGCACAGCATTGACATTAAAGCACTCCATGCTGAATATCGAGTAAAAGAGAAGCCAGGAAATTTCAGTTGCTGTTGTACTGATTACTAAAAACACTGGTTCGATAAAAGCCTGTGGTTGAGACTCTCTTGGTTCATTTAGATTACATGGTTGCAGACAGTCCTATGTCACAGACAGTGGCTCTTATTCTTTATTTTCTATTTTCTACAGCTGTCAGGCCTTATGCAGGAAGAGACAATGATGGATAACTAAAGCTTGCTAAAACAGACACAATAGATATTATGAAAGTGAATAGTATAGAAATTCTCAGGGTATGGTTATTTTGTATGTAGTGAATTTGAAATTATAATATGTATAGATAATATGTGTCACTGTATATACACTGCCTGGCCATTTGGATTTAAATAAGCAAATACTGAAGAGTTTAGGATTGGATCATTATTGCAAATAACATGTTTCCGGCAAGTTGTCAAGTCAAGTCACCTTTATTTATATAGCTCTTTTAACAATACAGATTGTGTCAAAGCAACTGAACAGCATTAATTAGGAAAATAGTGTGTCAATAATGCAAAATGACAATAGTAAACACTAAGATAATAAGTTGTGTGTTTTGCAATGATGCTTTTAGCCCTAACAGATAATGTACATAGCTTTTAACTTCTTAAACAACCATGCCATATTCCAGGATGACAATACCAAGAGTCATCAGGCTTGTGAAATAGTGGTTTATTAAGCATGAGGAATCATTTACTTGTATGAACTGGCCACCGCATTGTGAATCCAATTCAAAAGTCTTTGGGATGTGCTGGAGACAACTTTACAGAGTGGTTTGACTCTCCCACTGTCAATATAAGGTCTCGGCCAAAAATTTATCCAACCCTTGATGGCAATAAATGCTGTAATCTTGCATGATAATGCCACAACAAATGCACAATATAATCAAAGCTAAAGGCAGTCCATTGAAATATTAGTGTGTTCAACCTTTTTTGGACAGGCAGTGTAAATTCGACTCTAGCACATCCCAAAGGTTTTTCAATGGGGTTAAGGTCAGGACTCTGTGGTGGTCAATCTTTCACAATTTGAGCCTGGTGAATCTTGGTATTGTCATCCTGGAATATGTACATCCACTGAAAAAAACAACTTGTAGGATTTACTTGATAAAATCTTCATAACGCATTTTAAGTACATTTTACTGCTACTGCTCTGTATAATTTAGTTATTGTTGAGTAAAATCTACTTGCCTAAGTTAAGTAAGTTGAACAAAGAAAATAAGTAACTTTAGTTTGGCCAGTGAAAGATTGAGTCATTCTTATCTAGTCAAAGCTTTCTTGGCATTACTTTGATTTTACTTTATGTAGAATTGAATTAAACCATGCTTTTAAAGTGTATGTGTCAGAAACATCTAAGTAAATAATACAATAGATATCATGTAGTCTGTCACCACATCTACATATTTTAGATTTCAGCACTCCAAAACTTGGTTTTACTTAATTTTATAACGTTTATATTTAAGCTTTAATTTGTACAAGCTTGAATTGAGTACTAATATAGAATTTGCTTTGTTTTTTTTATTATTGCTTGAACTAACTTTTTCATGTAGAAATTACATTTGTTTTTCCTTCACCACAGAATAATTTCGCAAAACATACAACACACCAGAAACATATAAATCACTGCAATAATGATCCAATCTTAAAATGTAACATATTTGCTTACTTAAATCTAGATGGTGACTTTTTTGACCATGCAGTGTATGTGTATGTATATACAGATTATATATAAATATAATAATATTTATTATTATATGTAAACAAGTTAATAAATAAATACCACCTGTTTCTACAAGTTTGTTTGTTTCTACAAGTCTGTTTGGTGAACCCTAAAATTATTCACTTCACCTTTAAATATGAAAACAACTGTTTACATTGCACTATGCTTTTAAGATCACTCTGTAATACATTTGAAACTTTCAGACTCTTGAGCACTATTTTTTCTTGAGGTCCAGATTAAAGAGTAAAGGTTGAGTTTTTGGAGCCCCCATGCAGAGGGCATGTATGTATATGGTTTCTTTAGGGTTCAGATAGCACCAAGAAAATGACATGTTATTGATTTATTTGCCTATCATTGCTATACGACTGCTTGCTGTCATAAAATGTAATGAATAACTCTGATTAGTCAGAGAACATGATACTTTCCTTCAAAGTGTTATTTTCCCCTCTCTCTCCCACAATTTGTGCATGTGCGAGCGATCACTAATTTGCCTCATGTCCTGGACTCGCTTATTCATCAGGCCTCTCTGTATTATTTATGAATGGGGTGAAAGACAAGAGCGAACGTCTTTATTTTCAGATGTCTGTGGATAAGGGGCTTGCTGTGGGAGATGATTGGTCTTTCGCTCATCTACAAAGAACCTCTTTTCCTTTGATATTTCTATGAAATTATCACATCTCCAACAGTTATATCACAGCCTTCTCCTTTGCCTGCCAAACCCTTGTTTGACCCGCTTTGTGTCACCCACTGTCTCTGTTTCAAAGTAACTTGTTAATTAACTTTGATGTTCACTTATCTTTAACAGGATTCAAACCTATTTTTTTCCCCCCTCCAGTCTTCAGTGAGAGGAGAGAATATTACGATCTTTGGCTGCCTGAATCATGGGATGCCGCTGTCCCTTCACGACAACACGTCAGTCTCTATATATATATATATATATATATATATATATATATATTTGTTATCAGTTATGTACCATATTGTGTTTAATGTTAAATGTTATGTTGTTTTGTTAATGTTCATTACATTATTTTAGTGTCATGTTTTTTGGTGAAAAACTGTATTGAAAAACTGTTACCATAATTTTTGCAGTGGATTTACAGTGAAGAAAAATTTTTTAGGGACAGACAATGTTTAAATTGATTTCCGTTTGTCTTTTAAATTGCTTTGGGCCAATGCCCTTTGTTGTAATGTTCATGAAGACAACTAACGTTCCCTAGGGCTTTGATCCAAAATCATGGCAATAAAAACAATGAAGTGCCTTTTTTGGAAACAATTCAGGTGAAACAAAGAAAGATGTCGCCATTTCTATGCAAATGCAACATAAATTGCATCGCATGGTTGCAGGTGAGATGTGGTAAACTTGCTTCTACCACATGGATTTTCTTTTATGGTCCATTTTATGGTTGAGCACATCACTCAGATATGCACTTATCAGGGTTTTCTTTAGAATGCTCCCAATAATAATTGTGAGTTCAGTCATAGCTAATGGTGGCACTAAGTTTAGTCTTCTCCTTTACCTGTTTCTGCTCTTTCTTTATCAGAATCAGTTTCAGGATTTCATCTGTCCATTAACACCACCGCAAATATCACCAAGCTGAGGATTCCCTACCCGCAAACGGGCACGTGGTATCTGAGCCTGCGATCCCTGTGTGCCACTGAACACGGGTGAGCATATTTGTCTTTCTGTTTGCGTTTCTGCACTAAATTATCAGACTGCAGTTGCTGAGAAAAGGATGTAAAATATTCATAGCACTCCATGTATTTACCTTCTTCAACATTTAGCAAATGCAGTAGTAGCAGCATGTGAACTGTGGGATGTTTCCGATTTGCTGCTCTGAAATTCAGTACTTGTGAAACAATTCACTTTTATGTTAACCTAGACTCTCGTAACCTTACTTTATCTCATTCAAAATGAAAATGAATTCTGACAGTGAGAGTTCATGTTAAGTTTGATATCTTCATTCAAAATTGCACACTGAGGCTGTACAGTATGTATCTTTACACTACCATACAGATTATAACATCAGTTTCGACTTATATTCTCATATTATCTTAAAGGAAGAGCTCTCCTGAATGCAGGTTCTGTTATCATTTACTCACCCTCGTGTTCTTCCAAACATTTTCTTTCTTCCACTAAACACAAAAGGAGTTATTTACAAGACTGTGCTGCTTTGTATTTTCTATGAAAGTACAATGACTGAGAAGTTCAACTTCAAGAAAAGGACACAAAAGCACCATAAAAATATCGTAAAAGTGATCTATGCAACTTGTGAACTATAATTCTTGTGAAGCCATGCTATAGCTGTGTGTGAGAAACACAGAGGATAACATCTCTAATTTTGGGCTGTTTCTCACACAAAGCTTGAAAGCTTTTGCAACCCTGAAAGCTTCAATCCCCATTTATTGTAACTGCATTTTCAGAATTCTCAGAATGTTCAAAGAAATTTCATACTGTTCATTCTTGGTAGTTTTCCTAAAAGCTTATATTCGACTTTTCACTTTTTTTGGTCATCTCCATTTTTTTGTACAGGTTTGAGATGTGTACTAATGTAACCGCTGAGGTGTACCTTCGCTCTTTCCTGACCCCCTGCATCAATGACTGTGGCACCTATGGCCAGTGCAAACTCCTGCGGACCAACAACTACCTGTATGCTGCATGCGAGTGTAAAGCAGGTGAGCACCCAAAGCCTTTCTTAACCCATGTGTTCTCTTTTGTAAAATTATTGATGTAACTTAGTCATATTTTTAACCCTAAAACAGGCAAGAGTGGAAAATGATCAGCAAAAAATAATTTCATGACACTTTTTATATCATCTGGACTTAAGTAAAACATATCATTTTTGTAATATTTGAGATATTTTGGATTTTATGAGTACATGTTGGCGTACATGTTGGCTTTAGGTCAAACTGACAAAACAAGCACAGAAAATTTGAACCAAGTCATGTGACCCCCATACTCCAAACAACCTCAACTATGATAATGATAGCAGGATTGGATGAAAAAAATCTTCCTCGTGTCTCCTACAAGAAACTAAAGAATATGTATCATGTGGTGCACATTGCCTGTTTAAGGGTTAAGAAGAACAATAAAATGCATTGTCTTTGAATTTTCTAATGTGTGTACTAAATACAGGTTTCATATTCCAGATTTTAAAGGCCGAAGAATTTAAGAATCAGTTCACATATACTGGATAATATTTTCATGATTTTTTAAAAAGGTTTTTAAGCTATAAGGCAGCATTCATTTGATCAGAAATACTGAGAAAAATTATTACAATTAAACTTATTTGTGTATTGTTTTTTTTATATACATTTTAAATTGTAATTTATTCTAGGCTGAATTGTTAGCAGCCATTACTCCAGTTCTTCAGAAATCATACCAATATGCCGATTTAGTGCTCAAGAAAAATGTCTTATTATTAGTGTTGTTCAAAATGTATATTTATTTGTTCTATTTATTCTAAATAGAAATCTTTTGTAACATTATAAATGTTTTTTTTTGTTTTACTGTGTTCTTGCGGAAGAAAATAAAAAATAAAAATCAATCAATCAATCGATCTTACTGACCTAAAACTTTTGAAAGGTAGTGCATTTTCTTCATAATGCTACAATTCCAATTTGTTTGGTTTTGTTTTGTTTAGCCAAGAATCAACTCATGCACTTGCCATATTAGAAATATTAGATGTAATTATGCGTCACAAATCAAAAGTGGCGCCGAAATCCCCCAGTAGTCCTAGAAGTGGCGTGCAGGACAATTTTGGTTCCTACACTTATAATGTGACGCGTGTGCTTGAAAACTCCTTGAAACTTTATCTTTCAGGAAAATAAAGGAGCAGGAATTCTGAGTCATTTAACTAAGTGAACAAGTCTATCCTCCCTCCCCAGGATGTTATCACCCTTGCGGTTAATATGATGATAATCACAGTAATATTTTATAATTCCATTTATTATCTTTCTCCTCTGCTGTCAGATGCCAATCAAAGTTAATTGGCATGTTAAATGCTTCAGTTACACATGTGCCAATCATGTTGCTGTATAACTGTGAGATCACAAATCAAGTGGTTTTTAATTAGAGGACATTTGATGATCCTGAGAAATATGCTAATCACAACCTCTCAATTACAGCGCCATTATAAAGCTCTGGTGCCTCGTTTCCTCTCTCCCCCTGGATTCCTACCCATAGTTTCTTTTGTCATTAGCATAGACAAATTTACCCTTTTAATGAATGTTTTCTGGCAAACAGCTGAGTGCTCTGATACAGCACGCATGCAAAGCTCTTCTCTGTTCTCGAGTGTCTGGTAAAGCTCAATTGACCGTCTTTGTCGACACTCAGCGAGACTTCAATCACGACATGCCTTTGAGGATTTTTGTTTGTGGTTTGGCTAATTAAGGCTTCGTAATCAGAGAGATTTGTGGTGTGTTTTCTAGCTTTTTCTATGAGAGGTTAGAGGTGCAGTACATCTATTTCCTTCATGGTGTTTATATAACAGTAGGCTACCCGAATCCAATCTATATTTATGAAGCTGTTTACAACAGCTGACAGATGAGGAACAGAATGTGTGTGTGAACGAGGAAGAAAGTACATGTATATTTCTGTGATGTGTTTTTTTCTGTTAGCTTTACATGCATTTCCAATGTGTGTTTTATTATTTTGTTTTTTGCTTGCTTAGTTTGCTTTGAGGATATGGACAGGAGTATATTGTACATACACTACGTTTCAAAAACATGGGGTTGCAATACAGTAAAAACTGTAATATTATGAAATATTATTACCATTCAGAATAGCTGTTTTCTGTTTGAATATATTTTAAAATGTAATTTATTCCTGTAATGGCAAAGCTGAATTTTCAGCATCATTACTCCAGTCTTTAGTGTCACATGATCCTTCAGAAATCATTATAATATGCTCATTTTCTGCTCAAAAAACTTTTATTATTATTATCAATGTTGAAAACAGGTGTGCACCTTCATATTTTTGTGGAAAGCATCATGCATGATTTTTTCCCCCAGGATTCTTTAATGAAAAGTAAGTTCAAATTAACAGCATTTACTTGAAATAGAAATCTTTTTTTAACCGCTTTTGATCAATTTAATCCTTACTTAAAAAATAAATAAATAAATACAAATCTTACTGACACCAAACTTTTGAACAGTAGTGTACCTACTTTGAAAGAAATGGTTGTCATTTGCTCAAATTCATGTCATTCCAAACTTACATGACTTTCTTCTGCAGAACATAAAATAAATTTTGAAGACATGTTTTGCACATTCTTTTCCATGTAATTACAGTGAACTGGGACTGAAGTTTTCAGGATTTATGCTTAAAACTGTAGCTTTCTGGTCCATTTTGAGTCCAGCTTAGGACCATTTTGGTTAGTAACGCGTGTGTGCTTTTCTAGGTTGGGATGGCTGGGGTTGCACGGACAACACAGAGGCGTACTCATATGGCTTCCAGCTGCTCTCAACTCTCCTTCTGTGCCTCAGCAACCTGATGTTCATCCCACCTGTGACCATCGCTATCCGCAGTCATTACCTGCTGGAGGCGTCTGTCTATATATTCACCATGTTCTTTTCCACTGTGAGTTTGAACCAGCCTGGTTTAAACCTATCAAAAATATACCCAAAATGGGGATAGCATAAACATTTCAGTTGCTAGTTGCATGTTGACATTAACAGGCTATATTCATCAGTCTTCATGAATCACCTGAAATTAAATAAAGATATGTATAGTTTCAAACATAATAAAAATGAATAATCCTAACTCTAAATTTTGACTTGCTGAGATATGTTCAAAGCCGTTGTAACTTGTAAATCAACTTAATGGACCAGTCATATGAAAGAACTGGAACTAACTGTTGTATAATTTATATTGTATAGTAGATTTGCATTCTGTTCCAGTTTTGAACAAATACGCCTAATTAACGCAATAAGTGCTTGACAACCTGCTGACTATCTCAGAAACCCATCATGAGTTCTAATTCAGCATATCAGTGGCAGCTGAAGTATGGAGATTACAGTTAAGGACCAGTGACATGTCAGAGTGTCATATTTTATTCAAGCCTCCTCTGACCTTTTGTTTTCTTCTTTCACCCCTGAACAGTTTTATCATGCCTGTGACCAGCCAGGCATTGTGGTCTTCTGCATCATGGAGTATGACGTGCTGCAGTTCTGTGACTTCCTCGGCTCGCTCATGTCTGTATGGGTCACTGTTATCGCCATGGCCAGACTCAAATCCATTATCAAACAGGTAAAAATCACAGATGCAAACTCACATGCAAAAAAGAAAAGAAAAAAGAAAACAGTCTTCACTCTGTGCTTCCAAATGTTTTGTAAGTGTGGCTATAATATTCAGTGAGCTCAAAAAATTTATGAGTGTGTTTGCTTTGAATAAAGAAAAAAACAATCAAACCATACTGAAACTTATACCATTCAAAACTTTAGGGTGAGTATGATTTTTAAAGCAATTAATTTAAATGAAAATAATCTTTTGTTCAGCAAGGTAAAAAAGTGACAGTAAAGGATTATATAATGTCATAAATGATTTCTATTTGAATTAAATACTGTTCTTTTGAACTTTATATTCATTAAAGAATCCTGAAAAAAAAATGTATCACAGTTTCTAGAAAAATATTAAGCAGCACAACTGTTTTCAACATTGGTAGTAATAATAAATGTTTCTCGAGTACCAAATTCAATGAAATGAATGAAAATGCAGCTTTGCTATCACAAGAATAAATTGTGTTTTAAAATATATTAAAATTGAAAAACTTATTTAAAATATTTCAGAATATTACTGATTTACTGTATTTTATTTTAAAGAAATGCAGCCTTGATGAGCATAAGGCACTCCTTTCAAAAGCATTACAAATATTACTGACCTCAAACGTTTGAAAAGTAGTGTATGTGCCCAAAATTCTCTTTTTAGGGCCACTGCACTGTATATAAGAAGCACAATCTGATAGTTAAAATTACATACGAAGGCCCTGGGGCCCAGAAATGCTTTATATTTCTTGTGTCATCAATTTCTATAAATTCATTTGATGTGATTCATGGAGGCCAGTAGTTTTTCACGGACTTTATTGCCAAGAAAAGAGCTTTCTAAGATGTGCAAGAGAGCAGAATTTTTTTGTCCACCTCAGTAAAGCGCTAACACAGAGTGTAAATATACGAATGTCAGCAGTCTGTCATGTGCTGTCATAATGATGGTGACATTTCGCTGTGGAGCTGAGTAAATACAGGTGGACACTTTCAGGTGTGTGCATACTCTCTGTAGTTCAGTCTTCAGTTGCTCAACCGCTGAGGGAAAGAGTGAGATTTAAGGAAAGGAACACAGGGAGAAAGACAGTAAGAATGTGATTAACTTTATGTTTGAGTAATTTAGAATCAGAAAAATAAAGTGAGAGGACTGCTGTTTGTGATGGAAGCATCTAATGGAAAGACCAAGAAAAAATAGCTCTCCTCTAGGGAGAACGCTTCTATATGCGTTAGGTAATTGCATGTGTTTTGCTGAGTGCTGCAGTTTGCAGACACTAATCAAATCACCCATGTCACAACTGTTCTGGACTTTAGGAGGGAAGGAAAGAGAGTGAGAGAGACATTTTTAGCACCAGCACTCTTTACTTAGTCTGTTTGAGAGAGGGTGGCAGATGCAAGATGGTCCTAATTGGAATGGGGACTCACTATTGCCTCTAGACATGAGTTGTCGATGTTTGGACTAATATTTTCCCTCTTTGCCGCTCTCCTACCAGGTGCTGTACTTGCTGGGGGCGATGGCTCTGTCAATGGCCTTACAGCTGGACCGCCATGGCCTGTGGAACCTGCTGGGCCCCAGTCTTTTCGCTTTAGGCATCATGGCCATCGCCTGGGTAAGTAGCATTGTGCACATGCATAGATTCCATGTGTTTAGGACTGTAATGCATCCTTATTAAATGTTTAATATATCAATAAAACATGCCAGCATGGATTTCAGTTATATGGCTCAGAGCATAAAAAAAATAACAGATGTTGGAGTTGTGGTTGCAAGATAGAGGCAGTGTTGTTTGTCACAAATGATTGTTACCTTAGTTTTTGTCTTCTAAACCTACACCTGCTGAAACTCCTGGTGTAAAGCAGCAAAGGCTGGTGTGCTGGACCTAGTAAATCTCCAGCACGTGCTTTCAGATGGAGCGGCATTTACTACACAGAGCCATAGTTCACTGACAAGTTACACAAAATCGCATTCAAAAATCGCAGGCGGCTTTACTGACGAGATGCTGACAATCTTTTTTTTGCACAGCCCTACCGTTAGCATCTCGCTCAAAAATGACCAAAGAGTTTCTCTAAAAATAGTCCCCAGGTAGGTAATTTCCAATAAGCCTATTTACAGGCGCTGCGTAATATCACCCATGGTACGGCAGCAAAGTTCCTTGATTATTACGCCGGAATGAGAGTATAGTTCCTAGCCATATCGGCCTAGAAAATCACAACTTTTCATTTTCCGTCGGTCTCAGTACACAATGTAACTACAGAAGAGTCAAGTTTTAAATAAGTGAGATGCTAACGGTATAATCAGATTCAATGATCTATGCTAAGCTACAGCTAAAAGTGCTACCGCCAGACCCGGAGATCGGCTGAATGGATTCGAAAACAGTAAAACTCAACTGTCTAAACTCTATGGGCGTTGGAAAAGGAGCCTATTTTCAAAAATAGTGGAGTGTTCCTTTAACCGATTTAAATTAGTCTTCAGCTGGCTTAGCTGACCTCCAGCCTGGACAAGCAGTTATTTAGCTGGTTTAGCTAGACAGCCAGGTGTTCTTCGCGCTGATTTAAGCTGGTCTTAGCTGCTTTAAGCTTGTCTTGAGCTGGTCCAGTTGGTCTCTTAGCCTGACTAGGCCCAAAATCATTTTAAAACTAGCCAACAGACCAGCAAAACCAACTTTTACTGGTTTAAGATAGCTTAAGATATATTCTTACAAGCTTTTCAGTCTCGTAAGTGGATAAAATAAATGTTTTGATTGTAAATGTAATGAAAACATCCTATTATAAGGCAATGTGCCTGTGTTTCCAAAAAGAAACTTGTTCTTTCAGTCTGATGGATCCGGCAGTTAAATGCCAGTGCTATTTTTTTCTTTGGCTGTTGAGTGACAACAAAGCACCTTTTCAATATCTATAATTTATGAAGGCATTTAACGTTACCTGGTCCAGCATGCGCCCCCTCGTTCAAGGCTGCATTTATTTATGCATTAGCATGGTGTGGCATTAAAAGTTTTTCTGTTCTGTCAGTATAAGAGATGCCCTTGCTGTTCCATTACCAGGCAGCTTGTACTTTATGCTAATTCCTCAAGCGACCACACTGCTTTCCTGAAGTGAGATGATAAAAAAAATAATGGGTGTTGGACAAGGAAAAGTCTTTGCCAGAGCCTCTGGCAAATTACAGTTGAGTGTGAGAAGCATGTCCTCCCTTGAGTCGAATGTGCTGCTGGATATATACATGCAGAGAGAAGAGGAGCCAATGAACTTCTACTGCAGCTACAAAGATATACTGTATTGTGTGAGAGAAATAATGAGAGAGAATAGCAAACGTTCAACAAGACTATGACAAGCAGAGATAATTTCTTCCTCATGTGACCTATACTCACATCTGAAGGCACTAATAATGCTTCTAATAAGACAGAATGAGGAAAATCACATCTGAACAGAATAAGACACGTTTGTATTTTCTTATTTTGGTTTTGATGTGCTACATATTTGCTATGCTCAAACCTGATGTTTGATGCACATTTATGACAACTGGTGATGCAAAAGAATGGTGTTCAAATTTTAGTTAACCTAAATAACTATTATTAACACAGAACTGCAAACACTTTTAATATAAGCACTACAGACAAAACAAATGAATAGGCTGAAATCTTCTTGCATTTCTGAATGTCATATTGAAAGACAAGAGTACAGATGACTCTAATTCTGTCTAAAATTCATTGAATGTGACATTGACTGTCAAAAATACGTCTATCATCTGCATGGCATATAATGGCTTTGTAGTTAAAACATGTCAGTTGACACCTTTATTTCAAAGCTCCCCGAGCCTACGCAAACACAGTACAAAGCGTCCCACTGTGTGATTCTCACATCCTTTTTAGCACTGAGGAAAAAGCTACAATTTATCAAGCTTGTGTCATGCTACATCCACACAATTTGTTTACAGTGCAGTTTATCATTATCTTCTGTGATCCTCTTGTTGTGTTTTTGGGCTCTGCATTCTGAATGTACACGAAAGCTTAAATTAGTGCAAGTAAAAAGTGACTCTTTTCTAGTAATTTTCTCCATAGGCATTTAAATTATTATTATTATTTTTTTACAAATATTGCAGTGTTCATTAAACTTTTTAAATTTCATTTATTTATTTTTTAAATGAAGAATACCTATCTCTCTATATATATGCGTGTGTGTGTGTGTGTGTGTGTGAAGACTTCATTTGCAAAAACAGATAACTCCGTTTTTTAACAATTTTCAAAAATCATGTTTTTTCATTGTGCATTCTAATTCATCTCAATCAAACTTAGTCATGAGATGATTCACGAGCGTGCAAAACTGCACTTAAAAACTGCGCTTTCAGCGGTGAGTGAATTCTGACAAAACGTTTCTGATTGGCCATTGCGTTCAAGAAATCAACAGTTATGTCTGGGATTGATTACATTGCTCAACGCTGCAAAAACACGTTGAGGGTATTTAGCGCTTGGCTAAGCGCCGACATCAGGGATTCCATGACTAATAATTTGGGGGGGCCCCAATAATTTGCCCCCCCTTGCCCTCCCCCTAACGTCTCCCATATATATATATATATATATATATATTAATTCATGATAGGTCCACCTTCTTGAATGGTTTGTTATTGTTAAAAATCTATTTCTTTGGAAAATTAATGGGACACTCCTGTTGCTCTCTATTGAGAGACAAAGAGCAACATATTGTCTGGATGGGTCTTCTCTCTTTCCCTTACAGTGAGATGTGAGTCATTTGGTATATCCAATAACAGCCACAATTTGAATTCTAACACTTAAAATCAAATTACACCTGCTAGAGCAATGCACATTTTATTTTTACAGTAGAATTATGCTTGAGATATCGCCTACAAACCAAATAAAGGCACATGATGTTTAAAACATAGTGTTGTGAGGGGAAGAATAAGAACCCTTTGGAATTCTCTGCATTTCTGTATGAACGTTTCTAAAGTCTGGTCAATGTCAGAACATTTTCTGTAAAGCTTTCTGTTGTGATCATACTACTCATAGCAGTTAGGTATTTTGACTGGTGTTTTAATTGGGTTTTGGGATGTTTTCCTAAAATTGCCTACTTTGATCAGGGCACAGCAGTTTATTGGAGGTCAACATTCTGACAAAGCCATAATAGGAATGTATTTGATGTAGATATACAGCTACGTTTGGACTGTCATGTTGCATGACCCTTCTGAGTTTCAGATTCAGGGTCATTCAACACCTTCTGCTGTGGAATTTCCGGATACAACATTAGTGCAGCCAGGCCCTGATGCAGCAAAGCTGAAAAAAAAATCTCATTACACGTCACCATGCTTCATATACAGGATAAGGTTTCTTTCTCCTCAGATATAAAATATTTCATTTTTTCTGTGATGCTTTGGAATGTGGAGGAGGCCTTTGCAAATTTTCTATGGTCATCAGCAGTAATGTGTTAAAAGAGTTTTGTTTTTCTTTCTGTGGTTACCTCCCATGGCTCTGTTTCATACTGTACATTGAGCCATGACTCATGCATGTAACCTGATGACATATGAATATCTGGGAAGTGTTTTGACAGATTTCAAACAGAAATTATGTAAAATTAAAAGGAAATATTTACGATTTCCCCATTAACTGAAGAAATTTGTCTGGGAGGCCTGTAATACTGCATAAAGTATCAAATGACATAAATTTGTATTCAGAAATAAGATTAAGTACTTCTTGTGAACAAAAGATAGCTGATAGAGAAAAATATAATTTACATCTGTTTCATCATTTAAAAAAAATCTGTGCAGAATCAGGTATGGGTAAAATTCTACTTTGTATATACAGTAAAACAGGGAAAAATACAGGGGGAAAAAAAACTGTCCAAACCTGCCTGGCCCTACATGAAAAAGTAATTGCCCCCTAAATCTAATAACTGGTTGTGCCACCCTTGGCAGCAACAACTGCAATCAAGCATTTGCGATAACTGGCAATGAGTCTTTCACATCGCTGTTGAGGAATTTTAGCCCACTCTTCTTTGCAGAATTGTTTTAATTCAGCCACATTGGAGGGTTTTCGAGCATGAATGGACTGTTTAAGGTCTTGCCACTGCATCTCAATCGGATTTAAGTCCGGACTTTGACTTGGCCACTCCAAAACCTTAATTTTGTTTTTCTTGAGCCATTCAGAGATGAACTTGCTGGTGTGTTTGGGATCATTGTCCTGCTGTATAACCCAAGTGCGCTTGAGCTTGAAGTCACAAACTGACGGCCGGGCATTCTCCTTCAGGATATTCTGATAAAGTGCAGAATTCATGGTTCCATCAATTATGGTAAGTCTTCCTGGTCCTGAAGCTGCAAAGCAACCCCAGACTAGAGACCTGCGGGACCCGGGGGACCCAACGCAACAGGGTGCGGCGCAGGACAACTCTTGATGGGCGAGTGCGGGTGCGGGTGGGAAGAGACTTGTGTGTGTGTGCGGGATGCGGGAGAATAAAATTATTTGTGGGACTCCCGCAAAATAGAAATTATCTAAGCATAAAATGTCTAAAACATATAAATTGTTATTTATCTGTTGCACAAAAGTAAAAAAGAACAACTAATATTAACATGATTAACATGCGCAAGCTAGGCAGAGTTTCTATTTATAAC